AATAAAGAAAGTTTGTAAGTCATGCTCTTAATTGTTGCCTTTTACAGCAAACTAGGAAGTTCTGTGAGGAAGAGGCCTTGATTTGAATCCACAGATGGTCAGTTGTGACTTTGAGGATTCTCAATATCTCAGTGAAATGGCCTGGCATGGTGGGAGGGTTACTGGCTGGGTGAGGAACAGCTTCTTTAATTTAGATTTTGATTTGAATTTGCATATTAATGAAATTATTTTGGAGTCTTACCATTGGTTGAATATTTTCCTTCAAATAATCTTTTGTCTGGAAGGACTTTATAAACGGTATGTAAAATCTTTCTCATTCTTTCTCAGTCTTCTTTTGTCAACTAAGACAGGATCAGACCACTTTGGGCAGGACCGTTTCCTGGGCATTCACTCAGTTGATCTATTTAAACAAGTAAGTTCTTATTAGGGCAAAGCAATATAGGCTCATTATTGGAAAAATGAAAAAAAAATAGACACTCAAAAAGAAGAATATAAACAAAAAGTCCCTTCTCTCCATCTCATCTATCCACTCTAGAACATTCTACTGTATAATTTAAAGTCTTTCAGTCTGCTTTCACACACACATGTGCATATGCATGCACACACACATTTATACATACTTTTTATATTTAAGATATATTTCAGTTCTGCAAAACTCTTTTTAAATAACAGCTGTATTAAGATATAATTCATGTATTATAAATTCACTTTTAAAGTACATATTCTGTGGTTATTAGCATATTCACAGGATTGTACATCCATCAGCATTAATTCCAGAACTTTTTGATCATCACATACCCATTAGCAGTTACTCCCTATACGATATCTAGCCTTTTGTGTCTAGCTTCTTTTACCTAGTGTAATGTTTTCAAGGTTTACCTGCATTATAGCACGTATCAGAACTTCATTCATTTTTATGGTGGAATGCTATTACATTCTATGGATGTACTACATTTGTTAATTCATCCATCAGCTGGTAAACAATGTGTTGTTTTTACTTTTTGGCTATTATAAACACTGATAAGAACATTAATGTACAAGCTTTTATATGGATGTATGTGTTCGGTTCTCTTGAGTAGATACTTAGGATTGGAATTGATGGGTCATATGGTAACATTAAGTTTACATTTTTGAGAAACTGCCAATGTGTTTAACAAAGTGTCTATACCATTTTGCATTCCTTCCAGCAATGTATAAGAGTTCTGATTTTCCATGTCCTCATCAGCACTTGTTATTATCTGTCTTTTTATTACAGCCATCTACTGGGTGTGAAGTGGTATCTCTCTGTGGTTTTGATTTGCATTTCTTTGATGATTAATGATGTTGAGCATTTTTCCGTGTGCTTTTTGGCCAATTTTTATATCTTCTTTGAAGAAACATCTATTCAAAAAATGTTTTCCAATCATCTAATTTTTTTTAGTGACTGTAGAGTTCTTTATTCTGGATATGAATCTCTCTCTTTTTAAATGTTTACTTATTTTTGAGAGAGAGAGAGAGAGCACAAGGAGGGGAGGGGCAGAGAGAGAATGGGAGACAGAGAATCCCGAACAGGCCCCAGGCCCTGAGCTGTAGGCATAGAGCCCAACATAGGACTCAAATTCACAAACTGTGAGATCATGACCTGAGCTGAAGTTCGATGCTAAACTGACTGAGAAACCAGGTGGCTCTGGATATGAATCTCTTTTTTCTTTTTTTTTTTTAATTTTTTTAAATGTTTTATTTATTTCTAGGAGAGAGAGAGAGAGAGACAGAGTGAGCAGGGGAGGGTCAGAGAGAGAGGGAGTCACAGACTCTGAAACAGGCTCCAGGCTCTGAGCTGGCAGTCAGCACAGAGCCCGACGCGGGGCTCGAACCCACGAACCGCGAGATCATGACCTAAGCGAAAGTCGGACGCTTAACCGACTAAGCCACCCAGGCGCCCCTGGATATGAATCTCTTATCAGATATATGATTTGCAAATATTTTCTCCCATCTTTGGGTTGTCTTTTCACTTTTTTGATGATGTCCTTTGAAGTACTAAAGTTATAAAATTTGATGAGATTTTATTTAAATTTTTCTTTTGTTGCATGTGCTTTTGATGTCATATCTAAGAAACCAGTGTCTAATCCAAAACCACAGATATTTACTTTTATATTTTTGTCTAAGAGTTTTGCAGTGCTAGCTCTCACATTAGGTCTTTGACCCATTTTGAGTTAATTTTTGTATATGGTGTGAGGTAGGCATCCAACTTTACTTATTTGCATGTGGATAACCAGTTGTTACATTTATTGAAAAGATTACTCTTTCCCCATTGAATGATTTTGGCACCATTAAAAGTGGTTAAGATTGAGTGACCGTGAATATAAAGATTTATTTCTGGACACCCACTTCTATTCCCTTGATCTATATGCTTATCCTTATGCTAGTACCACACTCTCTTGATTATTGTACATTTGTATTAAGTTTTGAAATTGGGAAAGTATGAGTCCTCTAATTTCATTAATCTTTTTTCAGGATTGTTTTGGCTGTTCTGGATTCTTTGCATTTTCACATGAATTTTAAGATAAACTTGCTAGTGTTTGCAAAAATATTGCCTGGGATTTTGATAGGGATTTTATTGAATCTGTAGATTGCTTTTAGGAAATATTGCCATCTTAACAATATTGTCTTTTGGGGCTCAGTCAGTTAAGCATCCGACTTTGACTCAGGTCATGATCTTACAGTTCATGAGTTTGAGCCCCATGTCAGGTTCTGTGCTGACAACTCAGAGCCTGGAGCCTGTTTTAGATTCTGTGTCTCTCTGCCCCTTACCTACTCACACTCTGTGTGTGTCTCTCTCTCTTTCTCAAAAGTAAATAAACATTTAAAAAATAGTTTAAAACCAAAACAAAACAATATTGTCTCTCAATCTATGAACATGGAATGTCTTTCCATTTATTTAGGTCTTTATTTTCTTGCAAAGATGTTTTGTAGTTTTCATTGTACAGGTCTTGAGCTTCTTTTGTTAAATTTATTTAGAAGAACACTCTTCTTTTCGATGCTATAGGAAATGGAATTTCCCTTAATTTCATTTTTGGATTGCTCATTGCTAGTGTTTAGAAATACAATTGATTCTTGTACATGTATTATTTTATAACCCTTTTTCTTTCAAAAAATTGTGAACATCTTTCTGTGTCAGAAAATGTAGTTGTATAACATCATTTTAGTGACCTTGTAGTATTTTGCTTTAATGTTTTCTTTAATAAAAACATTTAATAAAAAGTTCACTGTGATTTTTTATTTAACCAGCTCTGCACTATTAGGCATTAAGTTCTTTTAAACTTAAAAAAAAATCAAACACATCTAAAATAATTCTGATACATACTTGCCACTAAATAAATCTTTGCAAACTTCCTTAATTTTTTCCTGGATATAAATGTCCACAAGTGGAGTTGTTAGGGCAAACTATATGCACATTGAAGTCATTTGCTAAGCACTGCAAACACTGCCCTCCTGAAGAGTGACAAGGTTTTCACTTCAAGGCTGTGACACTTCATTTGCTTAATTCTCTGTTTTACTATTAAAAAATATCTTGGCTAGTTTGGTAGGTGAAAGATGAATCTCACTGGTGCTTTGTTTGCATTTCAATTCTCGGGAAGGTCAAAAGGTGTTTATTAACATATGAAAAGTTTGTTTCCTGTTAATTACATTAGGTTTCTCATCCTTGAGTATTGAACTGTTTCTAATTGTTTTGTGAAAGCAGTTTGTATATTAAAGTTATTAATCCTATGTCCTTTATGGTGTACATTTTCTTCTCTCATTGGTTTTCCATTTTTGTTTCATTATGGTGCTTTTGGATGTACGGAATTTTTAGTTTTTATGTCAAGGCACCAATCTTTGTGGCTTCTCCTTTTGGTGTTACACTCCAAATTTCTTTCCCTATCTTTTTATTTTTTGAAGAGCAAACAGATTAAATCGGTACACTGCCTTCTTCCTTGCACGTATCCCAGTATTTAATAAATATGCTGGTGGTTTCTCTTTCTTCCTTTCAACTGCACCACTGTTATGCCTATCTCCATCTTTGCTCAGGGAACGTTCTCACGTGGCCTTTTCCCTTCTCCTTCCTTCACAGCTCCAGTCCTGCTTCCGCTGAGGCACGTCTATCAGTCTGGCCAGCAGCAGTGACACTCGCTCGGAATTGCTTAAGAGTTCGGGGAGGTATCCCGCATACAAGACCAAATCTCAGTTTCGGGATGGGGGTAGCCTCTGCTCCGAAGCCAGCTTGACAGCTCCAGTAATTCGCTCAACATCCTTCGGTTTACCTGTAAAATTTCGCAGATTAGGCATCTAAAAGATCTCCTCCAGAGTGTCTTTGCACAAACTTGGCAAACTACAACCTGCGCTGTTGGCTCTCTTTTAAACGTGTGTCCGTTCCACCACTCCCAATTCCCGGTGAGCTCCTTGGATCCCAGACTCCGTACGTGGCGGCAGTGCCGCATCTATCGTTGGCGCACAGTGTTTGAGAATTGACGGGACTTGTCTTTTGACAATTGAGACTTGTCCGGGAAGCCACAATGTCTTTGATGTAAGTTCTGCAGGCAGTGCCAGCTTGCTCTGATGTCTCACCCAAATTCGCTGCAAGCCTACTCCCTTGTCCGAGGTCCAGAGCTGGCTTTCCTCTCTGGTGTGTGACCGCGCGTAGCGGGAGAGGAAAACTTTCTGATTTCTGCGCGGGGCGTGGGAAGGTGGGGCGGCCCCCGCCGCAGCCGCAGCCGGGTGGGAGCCCGGGAACGCCTTCTGCGCTCCCCGCCCGCGAAGTTTGCAGCGCGCAGCGCGTTCGCAGAGACCTGGTTTCCCGGCCCGAGGTTAGGCGCTGTCATTTCTGCTCCGCTGGGTGCCGGCTCCAGCCGTTGCGGGTTCCAAACCAGAGAAGCCGCCCCCACGCCGCCTCCGGCTCCAGGCGCGTGGGGCGGGGGCGCGGACGGCCGCCGCCCACACCCGCGGCTGAGCTCGCTCTTCCCGGGAGGATCGTGCGCTGCAGGATGGCGGCGGCTGCGTGGGCTCCAGGCTGGGCATCGAGGCCAGTTCTGCTGCTGCTGCTGCTGCTGCTGTTGCCGCCGCCGCCCCCCCTGCTGCGGGCGGTGAGCGCCTCTCGGGAACCCCGGGCCGCGGCCCGGCTCAGCCTGCACCCGCCCTACTTCAATCTGGCGGAGGCGGCGAGGATTTGGGCCACGGCCACCTGCGGGGAGCGAGAGCCTGGCGGCGCGCGGCCGCGGCCGGAGCTCTACTGCAAGTTGGTGGGGGGACCCACCGCTCCGGGCAGCGGCCACACCATCCAGGTAAGGTCCCGGGAGCGAGCGAGGGGTGGCAGGGAGCGGGCCCCCCACCCCGCTCTGCCCAACTACCCCACGCGGAGGGAGGGGGTCCTTCCCCCGCGTGCGCTAGAGAGCCGGGACCAGGACGGGGTCCCCCAGGCCCAGCGCGGGCGGGCGACCCGGGAGGTGGGCGCGGTGCGGAGGTGCGAACCTGCGGGAGCACCAGCCTCGCCCACGCGCCGCCCGAGGCGGGCACCGGCAGAGCGCGCGAGGTGAGTTACGGCTGAGGTTAAGTTTGGGCGCGCTGAGCAGAAAGTCCCCGAGTGCGCTCCGGGGTGCGTAGAATGTACGGAACTATCGCCCAGTCTGCCCCCGTCACTCAGGTAGCGCCGGGCCAGGCCTTGAGTGCCCTGGGCGCCTCGTAGGCCTTTCTTTCTCCCCGACCTTATTCGGAGAAGTTGGTAGCAGTGGCTTTCCGTGGTGTATTTGGAGAGAACTTTTGGGTTATATTGGTAGCATCACTCCGATGTCGCCGAAGAGATGCACCTCGCCGCACTGCCTGAAGTGCCACCATTCAGGGTCGCTGGGGCGAGTGAGACTTGAAATGGGCAGCCTTGGACGCAGTGCTCAGGGTCCATCAGAGAGTCTTAGCGCGAACACCTGGTGCGAATAATAGTGTTGCTGGTGCTTAATCAGCATCTGGACGTGTGCCAGGGCTTGACACACGCCCCTCACAACAGCGCTGGGAACTGGATCCGGGAAGAGGTTGAGAAACTTCCTGCGTCTTCAAGCAGGTCAGGGAGATTTGAACCCAGTACTGACTCCAAGTTCACTTTACACCGAGCCATAATTCATAATTGCCTCCCTCCTTCTACTGGGAAATACTGCTGAGGAGTAGGAAAGTGTTGCCGGAAGAGGGAGTAATTTTGGAGCTTGTCTCCAAAAGCAAAAGATTGTCATTGAGAATCTAGGTCAGAGTTTTAGAAACCAACTCTTGGTTGTGCATTTCCATATGTAGCAAATTGTTGAACATGCAGTCACAAATTTTGTGCATGTATTGCTTTATTAATATATTGTATGCACTGTAAAATAAAAATTAAAATAACTGATGAAAATACTTTTAATTTTATTAACAGCGCTAAGTAATTTTGTTTTCTCTAAATACTTAGTTTGCAATTGTGTAGAGCTATTTATAAATTTACAGATTTAATTATTTATATAATTGATTTTGACAAATTGAGTTTATCACTTATGATCCAGCAATTCAAGGTTGGTTTTACACTAATGCTTGAAATTAGTGATTGTCGTAGCTGGAAAGATACCTCAAAAAAAAAAAAAAAGTAGATTCGTGGAGAAGTTCTGCATTGACCACTGAGTTCCAGAGTCAGCTACGTAGTTCACAGAGTCCAGGTCAAAATGAAAATGTAAAAACCTTGTCCAAAAATTATGAATTTCAAATGGTGATAGCGGAGCATTAAATTAAGTGAAGGGCCTTTCTGAGTGTGGGATTCTGTGTAACTCCACAGATCTGATACTGCCTGAATTCATTAAATCATGGTACTCATGTTTCTGCCCCATCCTTCGGTTATTCTAAAAATTTTTTAAAGTAGACACTTGGCCAGTCAATGTTTGCTTTTCAAATGGCATTCGGTACTTCCTGGTAGGATGGTATTGTGTTTTAATGGTTTAAAAAATAGACTCAGAACTCACTGCAAGTCTTTCTTTTAATATTAAAATATATTACAAAATTCTGTGTCCATGTTTTTAAAATGTGCAAATACTGAGAACTTTTAGAGTAACACAATTCTGTCTTTTCAGCAGCCAAAAATGAAACATTTCCAAAACACTCTTTTCAAAGTGTATATTTCTTGGGGCACTTGGGTGACTCAGTCGGTTAAGCCTCCAACTTCAGCTCAGGTCATGATCTCCCGGTTCATGAGTTTGAGCCCCACATAGGACTCTGTGCTGACAGCTTAGAGCCTGGAGCCCACTTTGGATTCTGTGTCTCCCTCTTTCTCAGCCTATCCTCTCTTCGCTCTCAAAAATAAATAAACATAAAAAAATAACATAAAAAAAGCCTATTTTTTTTAGAACAGTATTTACCTTTTCATGCATTGTTAAAACAGCAGCTTTACCTCGGTGAGTACCTCTTTTTTTTGTAAATATCTATCAGGTAGTGCATTACTGGCAGCCTTTGTCATTCCAGAATAAGCAAATTAGAAATTTTTGTGGAAAAAAACGTGTTACCCATCTTTAAATGTCAATCTTTTAAGTGGTTTACCATGAGCGAACCGGTGAATCTGTGTCATGAAAACAATTTCATTATTACTCCTCCTTGTAGTTCAAGGTTGGAACTATTCTGCTCTTCAGAAGAATAGAATCCACATGTCCACTTAACCAGGCACATGTAAGTGTCGATGTGTCATGGTCAGATGATAGCCTGCTGGAGCCGCTCCTCCTCTTCCCTTGGACAGAGAGACACTCAGGACCATTGTGACCAGCTGACTTGAGGACAGGGTAAAGGCCCTAAGCCTTAAATAATGTGCCCTAAGCACATTAAATATTAGTAAAACTGAATTTCTTCACTTTTAAGTTAAATAAACAAGTTTTTTTTTTTTTAATTTTTTTATTTATTTCTAGGAGAGAGAGAGAGACAGTGTGAGCAGGGGAGGGTCAGAGAGAGAGGGGGAGATACAGACTCCGAAATTGGCTCCAGGCTCTGAGCTGGCAGTCAGCACAGAGCCCGACGTGGGGCTCGAACCCACGAACCGCGAGATCATGACCTAAGCGAAAGTCGGACGCTTAACCGACTAAGCCACCCAGGCGCCCCATGAATAAACAAGTTTTAATATCCCCTCCTAGCATCCCATTGGATTGCCTGGCACATCCTACTTTGGAGAGAATGGCCCTAATTATGGAAAGAACAAATAGGAGAGGAAAGGCATCAAAGAAATTTTCAGTTGTCTCCTTTCCCCTAGATTTGCCTAGGAATGGATGATCTTCATTCCCCTCCTCAATGGGTATTTTTTTTTTTTTTTTTTTTGAGTGCTCATAGGTTGATAGTACCTTTTGGAGGTCCAGAAAAGTCCTACTTTCTGGTCTGGTTGAGTTGACTTGGTCCTTAAACCTTGGTTCACAGTCCTAGATAGAGTAGGAAGTGGCTTCTCTGAGGTTGTTCAGCAGACTGCATTCCTAGGCCAGGCTATAGCCAGTGGAAAAATAATGCCATCTGGCGTTATGCCTTACTCTTCCCTAAAAATAAGGAGTGAGCACAAGCTTCTGCTGAATAGTGCTTTCTGCTTTCACAGTTGGGGGCTTGAGGAGATCTCACTGATTGCTCATGTAAGAGGTTCTTACCTAATGAGGACGGAGAAGACAGGAAAGGGGAGTTAGAAAAGCTGGGCTGTTAGACGCTCACTCTAGCCCAGTGTTGGCAGCACTTGGTGGAGACCCTGCCTTTCAGAAAACTGAGGGGTGATGGGATGCGAGTAGAAGAAAGGAAGAGAGACTGTTGTACCTGAATGGTGATGATCTTGGATCTATTTATGTACAGCTCAAGATGGGAAATGGAGAAGACTTAACAAGTTGTGTTTCTTTGAACTTTCTAAAAATAAATCTTTAGGGCCAGCCAGGGTTTAGAATTTCAGGCAGAAAGATCTTGCAAAAAATGTAAAAAATGAATAAAAGCTACGTCTTTGGATACAACCTGGGCTTATGGTCCTGATTCTATAATAATTATTCTGATACTTGAATGGTAGCATGTGTCAAAAGGTAGAGCTTTTTAAAAGCCTGAAATTTTTGTTTGTTGTGTGAAAAATATTTGCTATGGTTTCTCCAGACTTCAAATTCATTAAATAAGATTTTATATACTTGTTACTGCTCAGACATTAAGTTTTTGGTGTTTGAGAGCTCTGTGATTCAGGGATTTTTTTCTGTGTGATTCACAGCTGTATCCAATGCTTAGCACAAAGGCTGGTACAGTGTATGTGCTCAGAAAATATTGAAGCAGAGGATGATGGAATGAAGCTAAAGGTGGTAAAGATGTTTGTAAAGAATTACAAGAAAAATGCACGAATTAATTCTGTTCTGCTGAGAAGGAACTCCCACCAAAATCTGTCATACTTTATGCTTCAATTTTACATGTTTACGTACCTATGGAATCAAAACACATTATTATTTACTGATATCTGCTAGAGATAATGGTCAAATGTTAGTGGAAGGCTGCATTGAAAATATAACCTTGTGTTTGGTTTAGTTTGGCATTAACACTACACTCACAGGAATGAAATGAACCTATTTACCAATTATATGATGCTGGTTTTGCACACTGACAGTTTAACACATCTTTTGTATGTTCCTTCATTACATTATAATTTATGCTCAGGAACTTCTATCTAGAAGCTAGCACACACCGGTCAGTTACAGCCAAGAGCAGGAACGCTAGGCCCAAAGCAGGCTAGGTTGTGTGTTTGTGTAACTTGGACTAATAATGGTCATAAACAGGAAACTCATTTTCACTAAGGCTGTTTATAGAACTATTGTGAAAGAGAAACCATTTGTTAGCCTCAACAAGAGCCTTTTCCGTTGTGAAACTGATAGGAAAGTCTTGAGCAAGGGCTGAGAAATCTAAGACATTTACTAGTCCATTGATACATTTGTAACAATTCATAGGGGTAAGAGTTATTTTGAAACTTCAGACAAATGACTATAGTCAGCAATTTAAAGATGAATAATCCTTTAAAAAAATGATTTTCCTAACAGTTGTGTGTTGATGGATATTAGCTAAATTTTAGCAATGAAGGTTTATGCACAAATCATTTGGAGAGGACATCCATGTTTTTCTTTGGAGAACCACGTTCACTCACCAGCAAAGGAACATGGTTCCACACACCAGAATGTCAGCAATTTAAATTTTTTCCCCAGCAGGAGTGCCTGGGTGGCTCAGTCAGTTGAGAATCTGACTTCGGCTCAGGTTATGATCTCATGGTTTGTGGGTTTGAGCCTTGCATTGGGGGTTTGAGCCT